CAACGAGTCCTCGCACAGAACCAGTTCTGGTAAAAACCCAGCACTGGCAAACACACACAAACATCATCTAACATCTTTTCTCCAGGCTAGGGTTTTAATTGCCGAGATTGGCTCAGCTCAACCCAGCACCTAGTACAAAAATCCTATTTAGCCAGTGTCGGATTTTAAAAGCCGACGCTGGAAGTAATACACACAACACACACCCAATTCTGGAAAAGACCAGAACTGGCAACACACAAAAAAATCCTATTTAGCCAGTGTCGGATTTTAATAGCCGACACTGGAAGTAATACACGCAACACACACTCAGTTCTGGAAAAGACCAGAACTGGCAACACACACAAAAATCCTATTTAGTCCTATTTAGCCAGTGTCGGAATTGAATAGCCGACACTGGAAGTTGAGCCCAACGATTCCAAAAGAAACAGAAGATGAGTTGCACCTTTCGGCGCTATTTTACACCTTTCGGCGTACTAGTTACAAGTAGTGTTTCTTTGTTATTTTGTGGGCTGGGCGTGCCCAAGCTAAGGCCCATGAACGCCAGCAGGACGAAGATGCTAATTCCTGAGTCTCCTTAGTTCTTTCCTTAGTTCTCTGGTGATCACAACCCTTTAGAAAATCTATCAACATACAAATAACGCAAATAATATCAACATGTCCAACATAATCAACATACAAATAATATCCTGTCTCCCAACGTGTTTTTGGAACACTATGCATAAAAATATAATCCTTTGCTCCCAACGTCTTATAACAAAACCTTGGGTCACAATAAAATGCTGTGTGCCAGAGGTTGTATGTACATGCTAAATCATCTACATCTGGTGAAAGCAACATACCATCCAGACTGAATCTAGGCTGCAAATAAATTCCTGTGATCAGAACCCTTTAGAAATTCTAGCTTTCAGGAGCTATGTTCCAAATAATGTCCAGAGCGAACGTCAGCCAACCTGCCACTCCATATGATTTCGGAAATAAATTAAAATAAAATTTTGCACTGGACCCCCAGGATTCAATTCTGGGAGTACAGACGGGGATAATCAAACATTGGCTCGTCACAGTCCTGCAGCGCTTGCCTCGCAACTCACAACGTTCGATGGTAACGGTGCTCAAACAAGGCGCCTCCAACAGGGCCCACTAGACCCGACAGCTGCAAGGGTACCTCGTCAGGAAGCCTCTAAAGTGCGTCAAGCTGCAGCTTCTCTGTGAACATCGGATTGGCCTGCGCTGGCTTGGGTTGATGACTAAACAGTTGCCCCGCTTTGCTTGTCACAAAATTCGTAAGAGTGACACGGTCATACAATGGAATTATCACAGGGTTGCAAATTTACTGTACGCATGCAACGGGGAAGAAAACGTCTTGTCGCTCTTTTCAGCATTCTGAAACCAATATCTGCACTACCCACAGTAGACCTCACCCGGCCTCCACTAGGATTGCTTCCCAATCACCTCCATGAGGGCAATTCTTCACAGGCCCGTAGCCATTGGAGAGAAAAGAATCAAAGGTGTTTCCATCTGCAGCACCAAGGTCAATGAAAACACACTTCGGCTCCGTCCTGCTGAGGACAGAGTTGGAAAGAAACAAGGAAGCAGTGACAGTAGGTCGAGGCAAGTGTGCCAAATAGTAGCTTCTAGCTACTAGTAGCGATGCCCTTGTTCCTACTAGCGATGCACCTGTTCCTAGTAGCTTCTAGCTACTAGTTTTTTCCCGTTTGTTCAGCCTCCACCTTTCAGCCGAGTAGACACCCCGATGAAGCTTGGCTGATGGCTGTTTAGATCATGTACAATCGTCTCGCCTTTCAAACCTTTCAACTACGGTCCTTTGGGGCTTTTTCCAGTTGGGATTGTTGGCTTCGCAGCTGCATGAGGGTCGACTCAGCCCCGCGTGCGTGGTCAGGGACGCATTGCCTGGGCCGGTGCTGGATCCTCTGAAACACACATGAAAGGTTACGGGAACAGGCTTGGTCAACCTGGGCTCTACAGCCTACAGGTCTTGAAGTGGTGAGCCATCCGTTTGGACGGCTTTTGCAACTGTGTGAGATGTGGGGCTTGCATCTTGCCCTAGCTTCGATATGTTCTTGCTATAATCATATTGATTCTTGATTACACAATTTAAACTATGAAGCATCTTGAGAGGCTTCACAGTTCTCTAAAAACCTCTCATCAAACATGCTTAAACTGTGCGTGTTCAAGCCACTGCTAGCGCGAAGGTGCGTGGCCACACATGGAACAAAGAGGAGAAGCGCCCGAAGCATACAGGGCTGAACTACATTGAGTATCGGTCTTGAGCCACTGAAGTGCCACAAGAACAGATTCTTCACAATTCTAAAATAGAAGTACACTTGGTGAAAGACTGTACACATCACCTGAGATTTTCCCTGGCGTTTCAACCTAACAAGTGCCGACCTCCACTCCGCCCATCTCTGCTTGCATGCCATTGCCAATCAAGGCCTCGCTCAAAGAGGTCCCCCAGCGGGCTCGGAAAAGATCAAAGGTTGCAAACACATCATAGAATCATCGCTGATCTAGCTACCTTACAAGGAATCTACCAACATCCATCTCGACAAACCAGCAAGCCCTCAACTTTCACTGGCTCTATTGTCCCTAGATGCCTCCATTAACGGCCGACCACACGAGAATGGCTGGAAAGGGGCGGCGTACTCGTGGGTGCAGGGCAAATGGACCTTCCTCTTCCTTTCTCTTGCTTTCCTGTCCTTTCGTTCCTTGCCATCCTTCCCAGTTCCTTTCCCTGTTCTTCCCTGGTATGTCCCTCTTGAAAAAGTGTCCTGGAGACTCTTCTTTCTCTCCTTATCACTCCTTTGAAGGTGTTTTCAAACAGCCTTCCCGCGTTCGAAGTGTACACCTTCTCTTTCCCGATAGGTCACCAACACTGTCAGCTTAGACTTAAGCCTTCACAAACCAGGTGTGTTAAGGTGGCTTGACAAGGTCACCGGGGTCCCTGACCATGCAAAGGCGTTGTGTCTTTGCAGGAACTCGGCAAACGCATGAGACCTCGTGAGCGTTTTGGGCAGCCGGTCTCTGGGTGTGTCGATGTGTTGCTTTTGCATGTAGTGAATGGCGATCAGAAATTTAACATGAAAGCAATATGCATTTCTCCATAGTTCTTGTGATTCTTGTGTGACATTGTGTGACCAAACTAACTACTCAAGGAGGATCAAAAGGAGACTTTAGCTGAACTCTTCGGGTAGGCTTGCACAGACCTTCCCTTCACTGGAACTCTAAACAGTGGCTGCTAGTTGCTATCCATGAAGAGGATCATGCAATGCCGCAATGCCCTGGAATCTGTATGGTGTTTCTGCTTCATGATCGCGGACTTGTTTGCTCTGGCGTAATATTGCCTTCTACGGTCAAGCCATTGGATTCTATGGTCAAGCTGCCGATCTGGCCCAACGTCACATCGGCAAAGTTGGTAAGAGACTAAGGCACATAGACATCAGGGATGTTTCGAATCGATGTTGTCACATTGTGAGTGCTTGTCTGTCTTTGCTGCACAGCACACCCTCGTCTGGAGCAGGGACATATGCTTCACATGTAAATGTGTGTTGGTTCGAGGCCCCAAAGCCACCTAACAAACACTCCCCTTCTTCAATAAGCTACCCTAAGCTGGCCAAGTGTATACGTTGGTATACAGCAATCTAAGGCAACCTACAGTAATCTATTCTTGACTATCTAATATTCTAAAATGATTCCTGAAGTCAATGGCCCCTGCTCGTCGCCACTTGGCAGGATAGCGCCAGGGAGGCCGGATGCCCCGCCTCAGTGGCAAAAGTGAATAGGAGTAGCGTCACTCTCGCTGAACAACGGAAGGCAACAAGGAAATGCAAGCTCTTCAACCACACTGAATCTATCACTAAATGCCTCTCGATCCTCTGGCTTTCAGTATGATTTCAAAATCCTTTGTGCATCTTCTATCTTGTTCAATTGGCAACCGTTGTCAAAATAAGGGCTGACACATGTTCCACGACCTTGCCTACCGACCTCGACCTCGGCATCTAAGTGAGTGGCTTGGTGTTGGGGCAGTCCCGCACCAAATGGCCCGTCTTGCCGCAATTGAAGCAGGTGACCTGCCGGTGTGGATCTGGCTTGGACCTCCAGCTTTCAAGTTTTCAAGAGCAAGACTCTCCTCCACTGCAGCGTTGTCCAACATTTCACTTCACAAAATTACTTGCAGCAAACGAAGGCCTCGGAGGATTTCTCCTCTGAATTGGCTGATGCCACCAACAAGCCTCAAGAGATACTTCGGGTATCATCGGGGTGACTGCCCGAGGAACACGGAGAAGGTTCTATCAGGAATTTGTCCAAAATTTGAAGAGCAAAAAACTCGCATGAACTCGCGACTTATGTGCCAATCCATGCCTTCTGATGATCTCGCTGTCATCACCTTCACCTGAAACCATTGTGAATCATTGTGAGGTATGGTGACACAGCAACAAACGCCTCAGCCCAGCCAGTCTTGCAGCAACAAGTGGTTGCAATTTGCGTGTCCTTGCCTCTGCAATGATTCGAACGGTGACATCTTCAGCGCCCGTGTTCGCAAACAACCTGAGCAGACATGACTCCATTCTGTGCACAGTGGGGCAATTTCTGCAGATTGCCTGCAATACTTAACTTGAGAGGAGGGAGACACGAAAGGTAGGACAGCGGGAAGAGAAG